TTTGCTGCTTATTAATAGTTAGTAAGGTAGTTGTTAAGTTTAGGTATTGGGTGGGATTAGGGATGTAGAATATGGTCATGCAGAATATGTGCTTTATAAGCACTAATAAACAGCCAATGTGTTATTAATAGGCATGCTAATAAGCAACCAGTTAATAGTGAGAATTGGTCCCTATACTAAAGTGTTACCAAACATTTAATACATCAAGAGACACACAGAGACTGTAGTGAAGAGTGATGGCACAAATGAACATTTGAATCAGACTTGAATGATTCATTGTAACAGACAGTTTGAACTGATTCACAGAACTCAACTCAACCACTTAAGTTAAAGTAACTTAAGTTGCTTTCAAACAAAGTTCACTAGATCATAATTTAAAACTATACTAAAAAAATAAAATATTAGATGAAAAACTTGTTTCCTTAACTACCTGAAATGCACTCAAATTTGGTTGGGAACAATAAAATTACTAACGGGGAAAATATTCTAAAAATGAACTTAAAATAAAACTGAACTAAAAATACAATAGTGATATCAAAAGGAAATTAAAAAAAATGAAAAAAGTACATAAAATGAATAAAAATTTAACTTAAATTAACATGAAAACTGAAAATATAAAACTAAAACCTAATTCAAACCATAAACAAAATCTATAATTCTATACTGTGAACATTTATTGGGATTTTTAGTGTTAAAAATATTCTATTTATGTTTTTTTTTCTTACATTAACCTGGGACTACAGATGAAAATACACCACCCTGGCTAAATCTGGCACATCTTACACTGATTTTGTGTACTGTTAATGTGTATTGTCTCTGATTTAATAAATGAGTGAATATAAATCACTGGAAATCTCGAAACCATCTCATTTCAGTAATTGTCTGGGTGTATATTCCGTCTCTGACTCTAACAGTGTTTCTCCTAGTCACGGGTTGGTTAGTAAAGAGTCTGTCACCTTAGCGATGATGACTTCCTTCCGCAGGATCTTCATGGCGTAGTACACCCCCGAGGCTTTCTCTCGCACCAGAATCACCTTCCCAAACGTGCCTTTACCCAGCAGCTTCAGGTAATCGAAGTCATTCATCGTCTGAGAGCACAAACCATCATCATCATCATCATCAGTGCAAACCAATGACTGATTTCTACGCTCGTAACCGTAATCTGCAGAGAGACGCACCACTCTGGAGCTGGATTTGGACAGAGACACCTCCATGTCCTCCAGACCGCAGACGTCACCGGGAGAGCTGTACTTGATCTCCATTGGTTCGTCCGCTTCCCGCGCCTGCAGCCCATTGGCCACGGCCTGGATCGCACGCATCCACTCGTCCCTTCATACAGTTACAAGCAGTCAGACAGTGATTTACCGTGGTGAAGACGCGAGTAACAACACAACAACTGAGCAAACTGCTCAAATTAGGTGTTTCCAGAAGTATAAGAACGGTTTGTAATAAAAAAATTTATCACATGTCCCAAAAAATATTAAGCAGCACAACTGTCTCCAGCACTGATAATAAATCAGCATATTAGAATGATTTCTGAAGATCATGTGACACTGAAGACTGGAGTAATGATGCTGAAAATACAGCTGCGCATCACAGAAATACATTATATTTTAAAGTATATTAAAACAGAAAACTTATTTTAAATTGCAATAATATTTCACAAAATTAAATTTTTCTGCATTTTTATCAAATAAATGCAGGCTTGATGAGCACAAGAACCTTCTCTAAAAAACATTAAAAATCTTACTGATCCCAAACTTTTGAACGGCAGTGTATATTTTTATATATTGTGATAAATGCTGTTTCTATATTGCAAAAGAAAAAAGCATTTGCAATGCTTCATGGGATTGAAAAAATTAAAGCTGCTTATTAAATTTTACAATCTTGTATCTGTCTTTTTGTTTGATTTTCCAGTGCACTTTGAATGAATGCTCATCTCTCAGCAGCAGACGTGCGTGCATGTGTGTGTGTGTGTGTGAGTGTGAGTGAGTGAGTGAGTGAGTGAGTGTGTGTGTGTGTGTGTGTGAGTGAGTGTGTGTGTGTGAGTGTGAGTGAGTGAGTGTGTGAGTGAGTGAGTGAGTGAGTGAGTGAGTGAATGTGTGTGAGTGAGTGAGTGAGTGTATGTGTGTGAGTGAGTCAGTGAGTGAGTGAGTGAGTGTGTGTGTGTGTGTTCACCTCTCCTCGCTGCTCTCCACGTGGAAGGTTCTCTCGATGACGCTCGTCCACTGCAGGCAGCGGATCATGAAGGTGTTTGGCCGCGGACGCTCGGTCTTCATCAGCTGACACTCTGGAAACACACAAGCCGTTCACACACACACAGTCATACACACATCACAGCTTCAGCGTCTCCAGCAGAGCTCACCTTCCACAGAGAAGTTATTGAGCGGAGCCGAGCTCTGATCCGTTAGCTCCGGCTTCTCCTTATAGCCCATGAAGGATCCGTCACTCTTCAGGATGAAGTAGCGCGGCCTCCAGGTCTTGATGTACTCACCTGTGTGTCACACACACACACACACATCAGAACATGACGTCTCACGCCGCAGCAGACAGCGCAGGAGCCTGCCGTACCTCGTTTATAGAGCCAGCCTTCCTTCACCAGGCTGACCTCCGTCATGATGGGCGGGGCTTGAGAGTGATTGACACACGGCGCCCTTCAACTTGGTAACTTGTGGCTGGACTTTTAAAATGTAAAACAAAATATTATAGTTCAAAAACCTGGTTGAATATATTTTTTTAAATCTTTGCGTTGGATTCATTAAAAAAAAATTTTATTTAAATTTTTTTATTTAAACAGTTAAACTTATATTATTTAAAAACTTATTTTATGTCAGTTTCAGAATACTTATTTCTTTAACATCTTTGCTTTGGATTAACCAGAATTTCTGATTAAAAATAAACTTTTTAAAAGAGTTTAAACTTATAAAATGTTATTTTTAGTGCCGTCAAACGATTAATCGCATCCAAAATAAAAGTTTGTTTACATTATATATGTGTGTGTGCTGTGTATATTTATTATGTATATATAAATACACACATGCATGTATATATTTATGAAAAATATGTTACATTTATGTATTAAATATATTTATATATAATATAATAACATAAATATATACATAAATATTTTAAAAATATATATACTGTATGTGTGTGTATTTATATATACATAATAAATATACACAGCACACACACATATATAATGTAAACAAACTTTTATTTTGGATGCGATTAATCGTTTGACAGCACTAATTTTTTTTTTTTTAAATGTAGTTTAAATCAATGTCAGAATATTAAATTTCTCTTTAAAATGTTGCTTTGGATTGATCTGACTTTTAATTAACTTTAAATAACTGAATAAACTTCTTAAAAGTCGTAACTAACAAAATATAATTTTATCAAAATATAATAATTAATTATTATAATCAATATAATTATTATTATTAATTAAAATAATTGTTTTTCACACACACACACACACACACACACACACACACACACACACTCTCTCACTCACACACACACACACACACACTTACACACTCACTCACACACACACTTACACACGCACACTTACACACTCTCTCTCACACACACACACACTCATACACACACACACACTCTCTCACTCACACTCTCACTCACTCACTCACTCACACATTTTTTTTTTTAAATGTAGTTTAAATCAATGTCAGAATATTAAATTTCTCTTTAAAATGTTGCTTTGGATTGATCTGACTTTTAATTAACTTTAAATAACTGAATAAACTTCTTAAAAGTCGTAACTAACAAAATATAATTTTATCAAAATATAATAATTAATTATTATAATCAATATAATTATTATTATTAATTAAAATAATTGTTTTTATTTCAAAATAAAAACTTGGTTTAGTCTTTCTTTAACATCTATGCTTTGTATTGATCATAAAACATAAGACTTTTTAAGTAAAAAAAAAAACGAGTTCGATTTTATGAAATATTACAAACAAACTTGGTTTATATTATTGTCCGAATATGGATTCTCTGTTAACATCATTTTTGGCTTGATCAAAAAATTATTAAAAATTTTAAAAAAAGAGTTAAAATACTATAAAATTCTAAAAAGGTAGAGTGGTGGTGTCCTATGGTAATATCATGGTCACACTTACACACACTCTCACTCACACACACACACTTACACACACTCTCACTCACACACACACACTCTCACTCACTCACT